ACAAGCAAAGAGATTGAAATAGTAATCAAAAAACAAAAGTCCAGGACCACACAGCATCTCTGGTCAATTCTACCAAACAATCAAAGATTTTTAATTCCTATCCTTCTCAAACCATTCCAAAAAACTGAAGAGGACAGGATGCTTCCTAACTCATTTTCCAAGGTCAACATTACCCTGATACCAAAATCAGACCAGGACAACACAAAAAAGGAAAATTACAATATAGCTGATGAACATACACGCAAAAATACTCAACAAAATATTAGGAAATAGAATACAATAATACATTAAAAGGATCATGTACAACAATCGAGTGAGATTTATTCCAGGGATGCAGGGATGGTTCAACATCTGCAAATCAATCAATGTGATATATACCATACTAATAAAATAAAGAATAAAAATCACATGATCAACTCACCAGATGCAAAGAAAGCATGTGACAAGATCCAACATCCATTTATGGTAAATCTCTAAACAAAATGCGTATAGAAGGAAAGTACCTCAACATAATAAAGGCCATATATGACAAACCCAAAGTCAACATCATTACTCAATGGAGAAAAACTGAAAGCCACTCCTCTGATGGGCATGAGCATTCCCTCTCACTTTGAAGTTAGGCGGACCACATGACTTGCTTTGCCCAACAAAATGTGAGCAGAAATGATGTGTGCCACTTTCGGGCAGAAGCTCTGAGAACCACTATACTTTTCATTGCCATGGTGATTGCAGAAGCCTGTGATGAAATGAACCTCTGTCAGCCTGGAGCCGAATGAACAGATGAGCAAAGCCCCTTGCTCACACTCACTGGGCACATCTAAGGATATGATATAAGATTCTAAAGTGTGGGAGTTGTTGCCACAGGACTACCTAGCCCACTCTGACTAATAACAGGCAGTGCTCTATTTTACTGATAATAAAGCTGTAGAGTAGGCTGTCAACTTGCTCAAATTCATACAACTAGTAAGGGCTCAAGCCGCAAAGTGAAATCAACTCTGACTCCAAAACCTATGTATCCTCCAACTACCTATACTTTATCTCTGGGCATTTTAACTCTATGGAAACAATTTATTTCACACCTTATGTTTTATACTATGATAATAAAAAGGACTTGAGACTTATAAGGGGGAGAGGAATGATCCAAAAATTGTTTCTCTTGACGTAAAAGTCTATGAATCTTTAGATGTAACTATTAGTCAGAGTCTCCTTTCCGTGGCCTCATATTTCCATATAGAAAGCAACAGTCCTGGCTTCTCCCCGTATTGTCACATACATACCCCATGGAAAGAGCAATGACTTATCAGGTTGGTAACTTTGGCAGAAGGAACTTGGTGTGAGTATCTACTAATTCTGAACTCTCTTTCCAAATCTTTTCAAATCTTCCTGCCTGAATTTGGCCTGCTCTCCACTGACCTATGGTAAGCACTGACCTTCCCTAAGGACTTAGGTAGGAATCTTCCATAAACTATTTACCTTGTCCTTTTTCTGCAACCTCTCAGAGGCCCTACTGTTTACTATGAATTTAAGCTGTGAATCTCAGGGCCCAGACTGTGCTTATACCAACAGAAATGTGAGGAACACAACTGAAGAACAATTAAAAAGACATGAGACTCCTATAGTAGAAACGATATATCCACCACTTGCACAAAGGCAGAAGAAAAGACAGACTGACACAAATATCCAAGGCCAAAAGAAATCACTAAAGAAAACTTGTATCAGGGACACTTTACCCTTGGGAATTAGGTTGGTAGAGAAAGAGTTCAAAGGTCTAGGGCAGCTGATAGAATAACCTAGAACACTTTGGGTCAGTGCTTCCCAATTTTTTTAATGCCATTGGTACACAGATAATATATGCAGAGAATTTTGGCGTAAAAATACATGTTTTCTCATGATCAGACAAACAGGATCAACATCTCCAAATACCCATAGTCTGGCCTGCCATGGCATACCACCTGGAAAGCTCTGTTCTAGACAAGAAGAGCAAAGTGGTTCAAAAACAGTAAAGAACAAACAGAAAATTACTGAGAAACGAATGAGGAGACGGACATATTTCAAATAAGACTTCAGATTTCAGACAAAGTGGAAAAGTTCTAGCTTATTTTAAAACAGTTTTAGAAAAAGGGGAGATAACGTGTTAGTTACTAGATCAGAAAAGGTGAAAAAATCAGAAGAGAATGACCCCTCCAGAAGGAACAACAATTCAGCAAACAAGAAAGCGGCACTCTTCTAAGACTACAGATAAAAAGCAACTGGCAAGTCATATGCTGAACACAGGATATGATATCAAGTGCTTACAAAAAGTCAGGCGAGATTTGAGAGGAGGAAATAAAGATTTCAGGGTAAAAGATTCAAAGAATTACTGAAAGAACTTCAAAGAGAAGTTATCAGTTACTATAGATGGGGATACAGATATTGTTCACACTGAGGGAACATGTGCAATAAATTTTTGGTATTAGAACTCTACGGAAAGGTACAAGGAACATGAGCTTCACCAAAGAGGAACCAGGGTGTACAACTCTCCTCAGTGACCAGAGCTCATTAACTCTCAAGATGAGGAACCTATCAAGACAATATCAGAGAAATAAGTTAGAAAAAACAAATGTATAAGCCAGAAAAAGTCAAAGAATAGGAAGAGAAGAAACTCATCCATCAACAGGGCTGGTCCTGCATGAGGTAGAGGCTAAGAAACAGGTTAAACTGTTAAAAATTCAGCCAAACTTTCCTAAAAGAAGAATGAAAATATATATTTGTAACTGAACCTTAGAAGTATATCTTTTTTTTTAAAGATTTTACTTTTTCCTTTTTCTCCCCAAAGCCCCCCAGTACATAGTTGTATATTCTTCGTTGTGAGTCCTTCTAGTTGTGCATGTGGGATGCTGCCTCAGCGTGGTTTGATGAGCAGTGCCATGTCCGCACCCAGGATTCGAACCAATGAAACACTGGGCCGCCTGCAGCAGAGCACATGAACTTAACCACTCAGCCACGGGGCCAGCCTCTTAAAAGTATATCTCACCCAGGAGAAAGACAAAGCAGAAAGAAATATACTCAAGGCCTATAACATTCAAAAGCTAAGGAAAGAGCAGTATCATACAGAGAATGATCTTCACTGGATGTTGGGACTCAGGGTTCAGAAGCATCAGCAGCAGATTCAGTTCAGGATACAATGGGGACATCTTCCAGAAGAAACTAACATGAAGAGAAGAGATATTAACATGAAGAGATGAAAGAAATTAACTTAGGAGGCAGGTCTCACAGGCCGAAGCAGTTCCATACTAGAACGCAATGGCAGCAACCACTGTGGCATAAAAACATGTCATTAGAAAGAGCTTGCACTCAGTGCAGGATTGGGGCCCAGCAAACGGAAGCTTGTGGAAAATGCAACTAAACAGTTTTGGTGGACAGGAAAGAAGCGCACCTATGACCAGAGCTGTCAGCATCATAAACTTCTAAACACGCCAAAAGGAAACAGCTTTCAAATGCAAGACTCAAAGATAGAGACAGTTTGCTAAAACAGAATTTTTTTCCCTCAGATATTGTAGATTTAATGCCATAATTAATCTCTTGGGCAATTTCTGCCAACTTAGTTTAAGCTCACAGGTAGTCATCTGCAACCAACTGGCCCTCAATGACAGGCACCCTGGCAGAACCAAAGCCAAGATGATTTCTTCAGTTTATAACATTATCCTAAGTTTCTGCTACAGTTTTCGGCAACAGTGTGAGTCTGAATTGCACTAAGTTCCGGGAATATTATAGTTAGGCCAATAGCTAAAGGGTTGAAGTTTTGCTTTTGTTTCAAAATTTCAAAGGTAAGAGACCAATATTAATTGTGTGTGTTCTCATAATCCTCTGAAATCTAAAATTAAAGCATAAGAAATTGAACATTTGAAGGACTGAAGGAACCGCACACAATCAAGTGGAAGAGGTGCAGGCTGCACTGTAGACCCCCACTCTACTCAGACGCAGAAACGACGTGCTTGCAGCTGAGACTGCAGAAACTCAGCAACTCACAACTGACTCTTCTTTTTGTTAGACTGCAACCACAAGGGAAAAGAATCTGATTTTTAAGTATAATTTCTTTGGACATTATCTTAAAAGATCAAGAAAATGTAATTTGGGAACTTATTTTTTCCCTGGGAATTTGAGAATCAAAGAGAGGTCTCAAAGACTGTGGCATCTCTTAGTTGTTAACATTGCATAATTAGAATATTTTTTACTTTAATCTCATTGCAGATCATGTTATAATGACTTTTATTGGACAGTGAAACTGGTCATAATTTAAAAGTAGACAAAAGAGAAGGGAGAGGATTTTCAGCCTTGGATTTCCGCCTGGATTCTAGGTGTTAATTTGAGTTCTGCATTTTGTAGGATCCCATCAGATTCTGTGGTGGCAAATCCTCAACACTCCACCAAAGTTTCAAGAAGACACACAAAGGAACCAGTGGTTGGTATAAGGAGAGTGGCCTCATGAGAGTGGGAGTAAGACATCCTGAAAGTGTATGCATTTCTTTCTCTAGGGAGGCCTGCCACATATTTTAAATAACCAAAGTCTTAACGGCTCAGCCTAATGGGTAGAAAATAAAAAGCTCAGGAGTGCTGAGGAGGAACTTCATACCCCTCTCCTCAGGATTCTATGTAAAAGGACTCCAGCAGGCAGAATTAACACTCCTGCCATTTCCCCACCACTAACCTCTTCCTTCTCATAGAAAGTGACTGATTGTTGAATCTAAGGAAAAGAACTGGGCATGTGGGATTAGCCCTTTCAGGGACCGCTTTTTAGACCTTTCTCGCTAGATTCTGATCTTCTGGTGGAAATCTAAAACTACCCAGCATTTGTGGCCACAAATTCCAAACAGCTTCTCAATAATACAGCTAACATTTGGGTTCCCATACACCTATCTCCCATTCCCATCTCTCTGTTGACATTAACACATAAGAGGAAAACAATGAGTGTTATTCATCAATCTCCTAAAAACCAATCACTAAATTTCATGATAACTTACGTCTCCTCTTCAGCTTTCATTTGGAAGGCATCTTCTAACCAATCTAATAATTTGTGTGTAAACTCACTCACGTCTTGCTGTGGAAAGAAAAATTCTTGTTGATATCTGAGCCTACTAATAAAAATACTAAATCTTACAACACAAAACACAGCCAGTCATTTCAAACATAGAATTACTGACTGCTCACAAAGGTATCATATGAAATGTTTCACATCAAATGCAAGAAATATTTATAACTTAACCAGACTATGAAATCAGTATCTGAGAAAAATAAGCATTATATTGATAATCACTGTGATTGGGTTTCACCCCAAAAAAAAGAAAAAAAATATATACACAACTTAAAATTCACACTTACAAATGAGATTTTTAAGAATTATCACCAAAGAGCTTTGTAATGAATCTTTATAAAATGAAGGGTTCATATTACCGAAGAGTTCTTCATTATATAAAGAATTATTACTGGCTTCTCTCTTAGAAGGAAGACATTCTTTCTCACAATCCATTTTCTTAATTCAACTTTTCCAATCAACTTTTTAAGCCATTTCCACTTTCACTAAGGTACCTGTTAACTTGGACAGGTTGAGTCCAATCAATCCGTGGCTACTGAGCCCACCATCTCATGAACTTCAAACTGAGTCTGCATTCAGACCCCGCCCACACATCACCTTTTGCCATCCCTTCCTTTGCTCCTAGCTCCCCTAACATAGAAAAAACAGGAATAGGCAGTAGCACTTGTACTCGTCAACTACTACAATTCTTTCAATAATGTGATCGGAACATAGAAAATAGGTTCATAGAACCCAGGGGGAAAAAGTAAATCAGTCCTACTCAGACTGCCCAGTCAAAGACACATGAATCAGTATAAGCGATACAGCTTTAATTATCACAATAGGCCCAAGTATAAAACAAACTTACTATATCTTTCCAGCTAGGAGTTTTTTGAGAAGCATCTGGGCCAACCTATTCACCTTTAAAATGTTGAAACTAAGGTCTAGGAAGTTTAAATTGTTCCAAAGCCAAATGTTTAAAGACAACTAAACTCAGCACAAAAAGCCAGTTATAAACATCCATACCATCTGGAGTGGATTAAATAGGGGTCCACCAGGAACCTCAGAAAGTGTCCTTATTTAGAATAAGGGTCTTTGCAGATGTAATTAAGGTAAGGATCTCAAGATGAGATCATCCTGGATTAGGGTGGGCCCTAAATCCAATGATGGGCACTCTTATACGGAACAGAAAAGGAGCAGAAACACGCACAGGGGAAAAGGCTATGTGAAGACAGACACAGAGACTGAAGCTATGCTGCCATAAGCCAAGAACATCACAAGCCACCAGAAGACAGTGAAGACAAGGAAGGATTCCACCTTAGAGCAACTGGAGGGAGCATGGCCTGCCAGAACCTTCATTTTGGACCTCTAGCCTCCAGAACTGAGAGAGAATAATTTTCTACTGCTTTGAAGTCACTTGGTTTATGGCAATTTGCTACAGCTGTTCTAGCAAACTAACGTAACACCTTAAAACAACTTTCCATAACTTTAAAATTCTCTAACTTTCCTTATCTTACAAGGTTGTATCTGACAAGAAACAAAAATGTTTCCTAGTCATCACAATACTTTTCAGAAGAAATTAATCCCTATCTTTTTTAGCATTCAATCTAAAATTAACAATTATAAGATAACTCCATCTGTTTTCATGGAGAGAAAAAAGATGAGGCCTTTAGTATAACATTTTAGTTTTAAACTGAAGCAACTATAGGTGTGATTAAAAATTAATAGCACTATATACAAAAAGGTATCCTACTAGACTCTCACCTATTTCAAAACATGATATATTCAGGAAGAATATGAAATGTAACTATAAATTCACTTTTTAAAAAAGTAATGAGGCTTACTTTCCTTATGGATTTATTCCACTATATCACTAATGTGTACTTCATATTCAAGTGTCTGAGAATAAAAGAGAACCAAACCTATACCAACCTGAATTAATGTGCAACTACTTTAAAGACCTCTAGAGAAAAAGAATCAACAATGAGAAAACCAGTGGGTCTACACTGCTAGCGTGAAGCAAAGGCATTCATTCACACTGTGGCATTCTGGAGTAGCTAACAGCACAGCAGCTAGTTGTCTCCTTGTCCATTCTAACAAAACTGAAAAGTCTACCTCTGTACCTATAAGTTTGTGCTGTCCCATTTTTAAATAAGAAAAGATACCCAAAGATCAATATTCACCTATAGAAAGGTTCAACACCAAAGAGAGTAACCCAGAAAAAGAGAAAGAAAAAGCAATTCCAGAAGAAAAGATACGTAAAGGAACAGAAGTGACTTTTTAAACATAAGTGTATACTCAAAGCCACTAGAGAATATAGTGCACATACTAAATAATAATGCTACAAAAAATAAAAAACACATCTAGAACCAGGAGCACCTAAAATGGGGGGGTTGGGATCATTTTCAGGAATATTATTTCTTTTGACTTGTGTTAAGCATTGTTAGATAAGAGTAAAACACAAAACCTGAAGTGCACTAGGACAGTGTTAGAAATTTTTTAAAAACAAACAAAAAAATAAAAGCAAATCCTGATGTGAATACCTTTTTTGTTCATTTACCTTTTCCATAAAAGCTGAATTAAAAAATAAAATAAGGGGCTGGTCCCATGGCCAAGTGGTTAAAGTTCTCCGCACTCCACTTTGGCGGCCGAGGTTCATGGGTTCAGATCCCATGCATGGACCTACTCCACTCATCAGCCATGCTGTGGAGGCATCCCACATACAAAACAGAGGAAGACTGGCACAGATGTTAGCTCAGGGCTAATCTTCCTCAAGGAAAAAGTGAGGAAGACTGGCAACAGATGGTAGCTCAGGGCGAATCTTCCCCACCACAAAGAATTAAAAATTAAAAAAATAAAAAGCACAGGGAAGGCAGTAGCAGAATCAGACATCTTTCAGAACCCTCCACTAAACACCCTGACACAGCCACACAACAGAGACACATGCAATGCTACAGAAACTACACTACTAGTGTAGTGGCTTTTTGCAACTCTTCTGAAATATCGTTTTATAATTCTGCCCATTTCTTCTTCATTGCTGTATATTCAATGCTGTTGCTATAATTCTTAGCTACTTTCTTTGCTTCTCTTCTGTTTTCCTTCTTTAATTTCTCTGACTTCTCAAATTATATGTGAAAATGTTGGTTTGTTTGTAGACATTTTCCACCTTATAGGAAAATTCTTAGTATTCTTTTTAAGAAATGGATAAAAAGCCACAAGCAGTACTACATAAAGATTGGAAAATGAAACCAACAACAAGAAAGCTGATGTATTTCAGAGACCTTTTCTGAGTAATTAAGAGAGCTCCTCCCTGCAGCAGAAACAGGCATAGCAAGAGCATGGATACTATACTGGCACTGGGTTAGCACACATTTGTGAAGATTTTTAATTACACGTCTGCAAACATTCTTAATTTTACCCATGGTTTTCACTTATCAATTTCAATCATTTTTTAACCACAGCTTCATTTATCTTAACTTTCAAGATCATTATTACTTTTTTCTTAATTTAAAAGGAAATCTTTCAAATAATATTTTAAATAGCTCCAGCTTACTTTTAATAAAGATGAATAACAGCATCTTCAATTGTCTTGTATCTTTGAAAAAACTGCTTATGGAAAGATCAGATTAAATAAAATACACATGGTTAATAAACGAACAACCACAATAAAGCTACCTGCTGGGAGTCATTTGACTTGAAAGCATCCTTAAGAATTTCAACTGCTCTTGATGGATCAACATATTTCCTTTTAGTACCAACAAGAAGTGCAAATAGATACCGCAGCTCCCGCATAAAAGGCAAATTCCGATGCTCCTATTGGAAAAAAAGAAAAAACTTTTAAGTGAAGATTAACAAAACCTTTACTGGGAAATAGATATTCATTTTAAAAAGAACCAAAAATGTAACTAATACAGATTAGGGGTGAGTCCAGCACTCCTATATCATAATTAAAGAAGAGTGTTGGTGTCAAAGGAGTCAAGCACAAAAACAGTAGACGACCTACGCTAAGCTCACAATTTCAGCATAAATGCCACATATTCACAGCAAATCATGTCATTATCCAGCCAAGAATATCTCCCTTATTCAAGTCAGTTTACTATAATCCTTTCCATTCAGCAAGGCCCAGCTGCTGCTGAGGACAGCAATAACAATAGCCAACATTCAATGAGCACTAACTACATGCCAGGCACCGTTAAGTACTTTACCTCAATAAACCCATTTAAGCAAAAATCCCTCCTCCTCTATGAAGCCTTCCCAGACCCCTCAAAGTCAGTGATCCCTTCAAACTCCTACTGAAATGAATGTCTTTGACTCAGCAATGAATCACCACCTGCCACTGTCATATGATGATCTTTATTATCAGACTAATATTAGTCTGATAAGTAATTGGACTAGATCCTAATATTAGACTAAAGTAGCATCCTCCTAGTGTTCCTTTGAAATCATCCTTGACTTTTGTTTCTCAATAAGACTCTAAGCTTTTCAAAGAGAACTTCCATATCTCTTCCACAACTTTTTGCTACACAAGGCAGGCATTCAATTCTTACTGGCTGATTAAACCAAATGCTCCAAAAAGAACAGAAACAACCCAATATTACCAATCACAAACAATTTACTTTAAAACAAGAAGGAGACCTTTTTAAAAGAATGTAATTCACATACCTTAGTGAAATACTTTATGGCAACAAATCAGACAAGCAGTTCCTACTACAGTTAGGTCTTGCAATAACAATTATAACATATAAAGCTTATATATACTATTTAAATATTAGAAAAAATTTCCAAGTTTGCATAGTTGGCGTTATCAACATTATAAAATTATAGGGAATGTGTGTGTATATGTTTATAGTTGCTGTCCAGAAGAATATAATCAATGTAGAAACAGTTTCTCCCAGAATGCATTAAAAAAGGAACAGGTGTAAGAGAACAAAATTTACTTCAAATAGTTATTATTTGACCCAAAAACTATATACCACTACAGCAATCACAAAGTGCATTGGTTGACATAAAAGTGCTAAGTTATGGAAAACCTGGATTTTATTTAAGTATAATAAATTCCATCATCAATGATAAAGGTTAAATACAAAAGTTTTAAATGAGATAGACGAGTAAACCATAATTTTTCTGTGGGACTTCCCATTCCCCCAGCTTTGGCATGTATACATAGGTTCTAAAAGTGTAAATACTAAGAATTTTAATCTACAAAATAATTTCCAGAAATAGCTTTAATTTCCTGAGATCAATTTCTTCATTTATCACTATACCTAAGTCATTGCAGTTTTTTGAGAGACTACTTGCCAAGTAACAAAGATGAAATAATTAACTTCTGAAAATGAAGTAAAATTCTGCTGAGAAGCGTATTGAAAAGTAAAATACTTCAGTATAAGCAAACATTTTTGCTCCCATCCAATTCCTGTGGCTAGAAAATCCTTTTGAATTTCAAAAGGCAAAACCGTAAATGATATTAAGAGCAGCTACTGCATTTGGCTAAATTATGAAAATACCAACACATAAACTATGCAAACACTATTCTTTATCTATTTTTAAACAGACTTATCAAGGCATACCTGATATACAATATTGTACATTGTACATTACAAAGTATACAATTTTATGAGCTTCAGACTCATATACATCCAGGAAAGCATCACCACAATCAAGACAACGTACCTATCCATTACCCCCAAAAGTTTCTTCACTCCTCACTCCCCTTCCAAATCATCCTTAGGTCATCATGGTCACTTTGTATTTTCTAGCAATTTATATAAACCAAATCATATACTATATACTCATTTTAGTGTGATTTCTTGAAATAGGCATAATTATTTGGAGCTTCATTCATATGACTGTGTACATTAATAATTCATTCTGTTTTATTGCTCAGTGGTATTCCACTGTATGGCTATACTACATTTATTTATCCACTAACCTGTTCCAGTTCCTGTGGATATTATTGTACATGTCTTTGTGTGACATTTCTCTTGAGTAAAAACTTGGAAGGAAAGGACTATGTTGCATGGTAGACGATTTAAGAAACAACCAAACTGTTTTCCAAAGGCATTGTACTATTTTATACTTGCATTGGCAATGCAACAAGAGTTCTAGGTCCATATTCTACAAGACTTGGATATGGCTTATATTTTTAACTTTAGTTCTTCTTATGGGGACACAGTGGCACCTCTAGTTCTAATTTGCATTTTCCTAGTAACTAATAATGTGGAGCATCTTTTCATGTAGCTATTTACAATCTGCATATCATCTCTGGTGAATTATCTGTTCAAATATTTTGTTCCAATACATAACAGAATATGTGTCTTACAATTGAGTTGTACAAGTTCTGCATATATTCTAGACACAATTCCTTTATCTGATACATGTTTTCAGAATATTTTCTCCCAGTCTGTGGCTTGTCTTTTCATTTGGTATGAATTTTTCAAAGATTAAAAGTTTTTAATTTTGATGAAGTCCATTTTATCACTTTTTTCTTTTATGATTTGTGCCTTCTTATTGTCCTACTTAAGAAATCTTTTCTTAACCCAGGACACTAAAATTTTCTCCTGTGTTTTCTTCAAGAATTCCTATGGTTTTCTTCCTTTTGGGTTTATACCCTATTATGAATTTCTTTTCCCATATATAGTGTCCTGTAAGAGTTGAGAATTATTTTTCTGCCTATGACACCATTAGTTTAAAAGATTTTCCCTTTGCCCATTGAATTGTTTTGGCAACTTTGACTCAAATCAATTCACCCTGTACATGTAGGTCTATTTCTGGACTCTCTATTCTGTTCCATTGAGCTATGTGACTATCTTTTCACCAATAACAAAGTGTCTTGATCACTGTAGTCTGAGGATTAATTCTTCCAACATTGTCTTTCTTTTTTAAATTGCTATGGCTATTCTATATCCTTTGATTTTCCATATAAATTTTAGAATCAGTTTGTCAATTCCTATAAAAAAGCCTGTTGTGTTTATGACTGGGATTGCATTGAATCTATAGATTGAATTGAGGACAATTCATATCTTAACAATATTGAATCCCCTGATCCTTGAACATAATATATCACTTTATTTCTTTAACTTCTCTCAACAATATCTTGTAGTTTTCATATATATCTTTTGTCCACTTTAGCCCTAATATTCCATATTTTATGCTATTGTATATAAGTATTTTTTTAATTTAAATTTCCAATTGTGTGCGGCTGGTATTTAGAAATACAACTGATCTTTGTGTGTTCGCCTTGTATCATATAACATTGCTGAATTCATTTCTTGCTTCTAGCATCTTTTTGCAGGTGGAGAGTACTTAGGATGTTGTAGATAGACAGTCAAGTCATATACATAAAGAAGACAGCTTTCTGTCTTCCTTTCCAACATGCATGTTATTTCTTTTTCTTGCTGTATAAAACTGGTTGAGAACTCCAGTCTAATCGGTAATAGAAGTAGTGAGGGCCAACATCCTTGCTTGCTCCTGACCTTTGGAGAAAAGCATTCAGTCTTTCAACATTAAATATTATATAAGTTGTAGATTTTTCATAAATGAGCTTTTATCAGGATAAGAAAGCTTCTTGCTATTCCTAGCTTCTGAGAGATTTTGTCACAAATAGATGCTAGCTTTTGTCAAATCCTTTTTTCTTCATCTACTGAGATGATCATATGGTTTTTCTTCTTCAGTCTGTTAAAACGGTGAATTACACTGAACTCTAAACACTAAACCAATCTTGCAGTCCTACAAAAATCCCACTTGCAAGTGAGATATTATCCTTTATATATACTAAGGATTCAGTTTGCCAAAAATCTGCTACAACTGAGAAATTAAAACTCTGTAAAGCACTAAAATCCCGGAACATAAAAAAAAGGTCAATATACATATGAATACCTAACCAGAAGTAATAATTCTAAATAATGCCACATAAATTATAAATATAATTCAACTGAGACATCAGAAGAAAGAACCACCGATAATAACAAACTGCAATAACAGGAAGCAATAGGTCCAAAAAGTTTCATGTACAAACTGTAATGATTGAAGGAGTTTTTCTTAATTTCTCTGGAGGTATGAGGGGTTGTCAGGTGATCTTAGTTCCCTTTTAAAAATGGCTTGTTTATCAGCGTGACATTTTTATAGTCCAATGATTATAGCTTTAAAAGCTAGTTATAAATCAAATTATATTCCCACTGGCTTGTATTATAAATGTTTCATATGTTTACAGTAAAAGTAGTTTTCAAAATTATACACTAAAAGAAAAATATAGTTTAATAATGTATCATTACTACTAACAATAGGTCACACAAAGTTCAAGACTTTACTGAAACCTAAAATTTTAACTTCTATATCTTTGAGACTAGTTCCCTATAGGGCTACAAATTCTTTAATGACAAGACCAGAAAAGCCCTATACTCAAGCATACTATCTCCATAAGCAATTTTTTTCCACTAAGTATGAATTTCTGCATGCAAATCAAGTCTTATCTTTTTAAAAGCTAATATAAACAATATAATAACAGACAAGAGTTGACATCTGGTACTTACTATGTACCAGGCCCTTCTAAGCCCTTTATGTGTTTTATCTCATCTGATTCTTACAGTAACTCTATAAAATAACTGCTGTTATTACTTACACTTTTCAGATAAGCAAACTGAACAAAGACAGATCACGTAACTTGCTCTAGGGTCACAGCCAGAACCTAGACAAGCTGGCCCTGTGTCTGAGCTCTCACATTATATTGCCTAACAACATTAACTTACAAAATATAAGTTATACATTTGTACTGCAAAGACAGCCAGTGCAAAACTAATCTTCTCAAGGGCTTATCTACAGAAACAATAGAAAAACTTTTTGATTTCCACACAAGTTTTCAGCAGACAATTGAGGAAAGACCTTGAATGGTAAATTGTAACCTATAAAGTTTACTGAAATTTGACAACTCAAAAGGAAGGAAAAAAGCAATTACTAAAGTGAGATTAATGGGTTGACCTTCAAGTTTGACACTGTTTCACACTTGACGGGGCAAGTGCTCCTAAAACAAGCACAGATAATACAGGAAGACCATATCATACATGCTCTGCTTAAAAATCTTTTTGTATTTTACCTTTTGGTTTCGGGGTAAATCTTGAGCATGTGATGGAGGCTTATAATTCAGGACTAATCTTCTAAATTCCAAAAGATTGAATAATGACTGAAAAAGAACAACAATTTAAGATAACTAAGTGAAAATTCTATTAACAAAACAGTAAAAATATGACGGGTCTTAGAGATTTGTTTTTGACAATTATGCTGCTTATACACAGAACAGATGCAATTAGCATAAGAAAGACTATTTTCTCCCCAAGAAAAAGTCAAATTTCTTATATCTTAACATACTATTCTTGATCATTAACAATATTTATTGTGTTGCAAAGCAGAAAAGTATACATGGACAATGCAAAAATAAAACTCCATACCATATTATATTACTAAAGCTTTCTTTATATTACTATGTGCTTAACAGTTTCCTCAAAATAGAAGATGAACAAATGTAAAGTCTACAACTTTTCAGACACGTTATGTTCACTATGAGTTATCTAGACGTATCAATTCTACCAGGATATAGCACAAATAAACTTATAATAATTTAAATTTATTTAATAATAGTATTATTATATACTATATTATTATATTATTATAATATATTATTTATTATATTATGTTATAATATAATGATACATAATTTATTTTATAAATAATTCTAATTCATTTAACATAAACAAATTTATTTATAAATAAATAAGTCAGATGCTCAGTGATAGCAGAGCAAAGAAATTACATATTATCTCTGTGCTCAAGGAGACACACAACCTAGAAGGAGACACACATATAATTATAACAATAGAAATATGATTCCAAGATACTCTAATTCAGATCATACAGAGCATAATGAGAGCATATGAAAGACACCCGTGGGAAGGTTTCCTGGAGCTGTTTTTTAAACTATAACTTATAATCCATTAATGTTATCACGATGAACATGTTTAAAAAATGAAATAAAATGCAATGGAAAATATCAGAACATATCATACACTGTAAATTCACCACAGGATATTGTTTGTAAAATTTTTCTTGTATATATTTTATATACATGTGTACTCGTAAAGTGTTTTACAATGTAGACTGTCTTCCTTTCTGAGAATCACAGTTGATAAAGTTTGAAAATCACTGGACAGGAGGCAACGATGTATTAAATCTTAGTAAAGATGGGTTAGCCAACTTGACTCACACATAGATAAAGGTGGCACTATAAATAAAAACAAAGTTTTGTTTAGTAGGTAGGTGTTTGGAAAATTGGCCTAGTATATATAAGAAATAGAGTCAGATATAGATATATAGATATAGATGTGGATTAAAGGCCTAAATATGAAAGGTAAAACCATAAAGCTGATAACAGGAACTGTAGGAAAATATTTTGGTTATCTTGCGATCTGGAAGTATTTCTTAATGCAACAATATGAACATGAGATAATTCATTTATTTATTCATTTAGCAAATATTTATGGAGCACTCACTACATGGCCAGACACAAGGAAGACAGGCAAAAGAGAATAAAATATATTAAGTCTCCGCCCTGATCACAATCTTGTGATTACAAGTTAAAACAATGAGTACAGACGTTATAAATCAGAAAAAATGTGAATACAATAATAGTAGACCAAGATCAGAACCCCAGGGAAAAAGAATCATTTAAAGGCCAGAGGAACGATGAGAAAGACAAAATAAGAAGAGTAAGGGAAATGGAGAGTATGAGATCACAGAAGAAAAAGGAGTAGAGAAACCAAGGGCTTTCACATATAGCTGTGTATCAGAATAACAGTGCTTTAAAAGGAACCTGTGCCAGGGGCCTCTCAACAAAGACACAAAGTACCACAGAAGATTCTGAAGCACATCAAAGAATACCAGCAAATTTTAAGAAGGACAAGATGAGCATTACTCTCAAAGGTTGCCACATTCCAGTAAAGTAAGGGCAGGAAAAATAACCTTTGGATTTGTCAATTAGAAAACCATCTTTTCAGTAGAATGGGAGAAGAACAGCAGTAATAAGTACTGAAGAAATGAGATATAACTAAAGGGGTCAAAGTATGGGCTGTTCTTATGAGGAATTTAAATTGGAAAGAGAATATGGACAAATTAGGAGAATCCCAGTCCTATTTCTGTGCTCTGAGTTCCCGCTGGAGAACATTTTCCTGCTTCCTGAACACCCATTAGAATTTCATCTGGTGTAGGTCTGCTGGTGGTGAATTATTTCACCATCTGCTAAAATGAAAATTGCTTTTTCTTCATTTTTGTAATATTTTTGCTAGTTCTAGAATTCTATATGGCCAGTTAATATTTCCAGCACTTTAAAGATTGCGTTTCTGTTGAGAAGTCAGCTGTTAGATTTATTTTTGCTCCTTCATAGAGGTGATATGTATCTTTTCCAACTGGCTGCTTCTAGGATTTTCTCTTTGTCTATAGTTTTTTCCATTTTATTATGATATGCCTTGTCACAGTATTCTTTATGTCCATACTACTTGATTCCTATTCCTTCCTGAATCTGTAGCTCAATCTCTTTCATTAGGTTTTGAATATTCTCAGTCATTTCTTCAAATATTACTTTTGCCCTATTCTCTTTTCACTCTCCCTTGAACCACAAATACACTATGTTAATACTATTCACCATGCTCAAAATCTCTTATATGCTCTTATCTGCATTTCATGGCTTTAATCTGAAAATGTTCTTCAGACCAACTGTCTAGCTGACTAATTCTCTCTTCAGCTGTTTCTAATATGCTGCTATAATTCATCCATTGATTTTGTGACTTTGTTATATTTTTCAGTTCTAAAATTTCTAATTTTTTTAATAGTTTTTAGTTTTCTATCAAAATTCTCAATCTGAAACAAACACACACATAGATAAGGGGAAAAGATTAGCGGTTACCAGAGGAAAAGCGGATAGGGGGCAGGCAAAATGGGTAAAGGGGCACATGTGAATGGTGATGGATAAAAACTAGACTATTGGTGGTGAGCACAATGCAATCTATACAAAAACTGAAATATAATAATGTACACCTGAAATTTACACAATGTTCAAAGCCAGTTAGACCTCAATAAAATAAAAAAAATAAAATCAAGAAAAAAATCCTCATTCTGGTTTTTAATTCCTTGAGCATATTAATAGTTATTATATTAATTCAATTTTCAGGTTTTCCTGTAGGCATATTTCTATTGCCCATTATTTTCTATTAATTTTTAGACACATCTTATTTGCTGATATGACTGATTACAGCTGATGTGAGTGCTAGACATTATATACGACAAACTGGAGAAAATTCAATGATGATACTATCTTCCAAAAGAATTTACATTTGCTTCTGGCAGGAAGCAAGAGTGAGGCCATTTGCAATCCAAGATCAATTTCATCCAATCAATTCTGAGATGAAGGTGGAATTCAGAAACTATAAAGCATGCTTTATTTTCGGGTCTCAGTTAATCCTAGGTTCCAGCCCTTTATAATTCTAACTGAAAGTCTGAGGTGTTTACTAGGGCTCTAAATCTGTGCAAAACTTTGCTTAGTTTCCCAACCATTCAGCAACTATTTCTGGAATTGCCTCGAGAATAAAATCAGCCCAAAATGTGAAGCTTACTCTCTGAACATCTTGTTTTCTCAAAGCTTAGCCTCAAAATTACTCACTGCTTTAGGGTTATGTGATGTCTTCAAAAAGCTGCTTTTGTTTTCGTTTTGTTTTGTTTTGCAGTCCAGGAAACTATGATCAAGAAGATGGTCTAGAACAACCTAACAAGTTATCACCCGAAGTAGAACTTGTGACCATCACACAAATCATAGAGATTAACTTTTTAAAGTCCAAAACACTCTGTACTCTAAATCACAGTCATAATAGTAGTGGTCAACATATTCCTCCAAAAGGGGTGGGAAAGGGTAAATATCACTACTGCCTAAATTGTGTTTATGATTGATGCACACTGAAAACAAGTACCCTTTCATTCAGTCTAAAGCTAAAATGTGAATTCTGAAGAGCACTTGCCAAAATGGACTTTGGCTAAACTCCTGCTAACAGCAGAGAGCTATGAGAGATGAGAATTCAAACAATTTGTGGAAAACAAAAAGAATAATGACAAGAGAGCAAAGGAAGATATCAACTGTCTGTAATGGAGGATACCAAGGAGAAGCAAGATAAATTCTCCTTGGTAGATTTAAAAAAAAATGAAATGGTACCACGTAAGTTTCAAGGTAAGGTAGGGACTAAACGTAGATGGCCTGATTAAAAGATGAAAGTCTGTATACAGAGCAATCAAATCCCTCTGTCCTTCCCAGACCCAGAAGATCAGACAACTACTACCTCCTTGTGTGGGATACAGAAAGTTTAGTCTTTGGATATAACTAAACTTAAGTGACTGAGGTTCAGAAAAATCAGTCACAGTGTGTGTCATGGTAGGGAGAGGGGATGAGATTCTGGGCTACAAATAGGAGGATTAAGTAAAAACTCGCCAACTGAGCCCCAATCGACCCTTCCCGGATCCCCTTTCTCTAAACCTGCTTCTGGAAAGCCAGCAACAGTGCTTAAAACAAAAAGAATCAGAATCCAGTCTGGATTTGAGGCAGGGCAATCTTCTGTGGTAAAGTACTCCCCCAACTCCCCTAAAAATGGATCTAATATGTTCGAGCAAATAAAATATATTATTGATAAGACCATAACAGAGATGTTGGAGCATATAGAAAGTTTTAAGAACAAGTATATAGAAAACAGAAAGGAAAAATAATGGCAATTGACAATTCCAGGAAAACAAAAGATTTCAAAGGGGTAGTCGTAGTAAATCAGTGTAATATTTAAAGTCACAGAAAACATCAACACTACTGACTATTTTTAACTTGTAATATAAGTTATGTTGGGAGATGAAAGGAAAGGCAATTCTAGGTAGCTGAAATGAAAGAGCTAAATCCTCATTCTTCTCAGCAGGAAGGCATGTCATTTAGAAAAATGAGATAGGAGAAACAGCTAGAAGTGGTTGTAGTTGCCTGTAAGGAGTATGAGATAGGGAGGTTTGAGGCTGATTACTGTTGTTTTTCACTGTAAGCCTTTTATTGCTATGGGATTTTGGTTTTCTGTTTGAACTATGTACTTACGTTCTTTGATGAAGATTAAAGAGATAAGAGCAAGTAATGTGAATAAACATGTTAAATGATATCCTGAGATTTTTTAAAAACTGGCCACATCTTTTCAATCCCACACAGCATTAGGGTGATAGAAGCAATTAAAGTCTTCAATTCCAACATAAATAATATATGGTCCTTTTTGGTTCATTCACTCATTCATTCAATAATTACTTAAAAGGCTCCTCCAATGTGTCAGACACTGTACTATATACTGGTATAGAACAATAACCTAGAAGGTATGTTCTCTGCCCTCAGGATGCTTGTATTTTAGTCAACCTGTAGTTACCTGAGTTATGAGTAGGGTGACCATATCCTTCATTATCCAAGGATGAAAGAGGGCTTTATGACTAATTAATAGGCACTAGTGGATCTACAAGAGGAATAAACTGGACTGTACCAGGCAAACTGAGAAGCATGAGCACCTTACTTCTGAGCATCTCAGAAGCATCCAAATAGGAAAGGTGCTAAGGATCATCATGAGAATCTATGGATTACACTCCAAACTAGAGAGAGAGGAGAATACATACCTCTAAATAACTACCTCATTCACGGATACCCTAGTGGAGAAAGTAGCCCCACTTAGTACTTTTTACATAAAAATTCCATTTGAACAGGATTAAAACAGTCCTGACTAGATAAGGGGTCGATGCTCAATCTAAAGACAGTCAGGCTAATATTGCTAGCATCCAAAAGACTATTTAAGCTACTCTCTGTAAAATCTTCTCTTTGCTTCTTATAATCCCTTTCTGATACTCTACCACTTTTCTCCCAAATTATCGGTCCCAATAGCTAAAAGAACAAGTACAATAAAGCTCTACCTTTTGTAGCCTACTCCCACTACCTACTCCGAAGTTAGCAGTTTATAATCTCAGTAACCTTCTATAATTGGTAGATATACTTAGAAGGAAAAGAATCCCAGTTGCTTCCTACAAGTCCTGCCAACTAAGTAAATTCCATCCCTGAGAAATTTTGTAATTGAAACTTTATAGTACATTTACGTCACAGTTTGAACAAGCTCCAACTCACTTTGGAAAATATAATAAAACACTTCCAACACTAATACAGACTTCCTGCCTAACTTTTCTTTCATAAGTGAGAAGTTCCAATTATGATGATAAACTGTTATATCTCAGATTATGTCTATGGAATTAAGGAATAATGTAAGAAAATGAAAAAATAAAAAGTTTTAATTACTAGAGATGAAAATAAAAAACTACTTAAAATAGAATAATTATAGTAAGGAAAAAAAAAAACCACGAAGTGATCTTCAGACAAATTTTTTCCCATCCACAATTTTCCAAAATTTGACGCTTAACATTTTTTTCCAAATCCCCAAGTCAATATCTTAATAATTCACTATAACTCAAAATTTTTAAGGTTAGAGGTTACTTCTCCTAGGTGTCTAAATCTCTCCAAAAGAAAAAATAAGTAATTCCGAAAACCTTATACTTGCCTATGTTAGGAGAGTGGTAAAGCCATGCTACCAGTTAAGTAGCCACTAATCTAAAACTTAAAAATTAGTAAAATTACTTCAAATTTTGAAAACAAGAGATTTTTCTAGTTCATTCTGCTCTCTACCAAAAAACACCAAAAATTTGAAATGTAAAGCAAAATCTAAGGTCAGCAAATAACACTTAAGATAGAAACAGATAGACAACTGATTCAAATTTGAATTAAGATATGAGAGGAGTTTAGCCTATGAAAATGATAAGTTATGATCCCCATACCTATTAATATTAATTTAGTTATCATTTCAAACAGGCCTCTTACAATATGCTGTGGAAAAATAAAGAACTCCTCTTCTAACAAATATTGATTATTTCCAAGTACTTTCTTTCTTCTTAAAGTTTTCTAAGAGAAGCGTCTAATCAATGAGCCTCACTTATTGGCCATAATAGTGCAGAGATAGCATCCACTTGTCCAAATAGAGGCAGCGAAGCATATTCATGAACACTCAGATCACAGCCTTCATAGTGAGCTTCATATTTTAAAATGATGTCTAAATTATAAAATTTAGTTTGGACAATGAAATGTAAAACCCCTTACTAACAGTGCAAGTAAAGTAAAGCAAGATAGCCTATCAGGAAGATCTAAGAGACTCTAAGATAGCAAAGAAAATGTTAGATATTGTTGGGAGGTAAGTGAATAATTAATGTGTAATCAAGGCTAGGAACAAAGCTATTATTACAGATTTAGCTTAATCCAGGTATTCCTTAATATTTCAATAGCTTGGAAAAGAAATATACATACATACTACATGCTAACTAGTGTTTACCATAGTATATTGAAGAGTGAGGCATAAATCCAGAAAGCTAAAGGAAATCAAATTGCATGGTATCATGTGCCAGAAGCAAAAAAAGTGGGGGAAAAAGTTGAAATTTATTACACTGAAGTGGAAAAAATGGTAAAATTACAAATTAATATCCTACAGAACACAATTAACCTTATAGAAAATGAACTACATAACCAAGTTAGCTACTTTAATATCACATGAAAATTTACACTGTCATACATACAGGTTTGGAAAGCTACAAATGAAGAGATATTTTTAATATAAAAAGAAGTGGCATAGACATCCAATGATTTTATTATTTATTTATTTATTTATTTATTTTGAGGAAGGTTAGCCCTGAGCTAACTACTGCCAATCCTTCTCTTTTTGCTGAGGAAGGCTGGCCCTGAGCTAACATCCATGCCCATCTTCTTCTACTTTATATGTGGGACGCCTACCACAGCATGGCTTTTGCCAAGTGGTGCCATGTCTGCACCCGGGATCCAAACCGGCGAAGCCTGGGCCGCCGAGAAGCAGAACATGCGCACTTAACCACTGTGCCACTGGGCCGGCCCCTACATCTAATGATTTAAAAAGTACTCATCAGGAACACTAATTAATAAGCTACAATTCTACTGTATTACCAAAATAAACATAAATATTAATTTTCCTAAAGGGTTATTATTCATAGATTAAGGAGATCGTTAAGGTTTTGCAATCTAATAACATTATTAATGTCTAACTGAGAATGATAAAGAATTATGGCAATAGTCATCACATAAAAGAGTAAGAAAAAAAAGAAAAGAAAATTAGTTCAAATTGAGAAGAGGATAGATATCTATGCATACAAAGATTTTTCATTTTAGAATAAGGGGCTCAAAAAACATTCCATTAAGGGCTTTCCCAAGTTAGAAGGAAAATGTGTTATTCTTGATTCATCAATATTTATTCTTTACATCATTTTCACCTATACATTGAGAATTATCTGCCAATCTATACCCTCCTCAAATGAAATGCTTCCTTGTATTAAAAATAGTATTTAAATGACTATAATTCTACGAATAACACTTTCCATTATATACAAATAAATCTAATCACAAAAAAAGCAGTTCTAATTTCACATCTTGGTTACATCCTTCCCTTAATTTGCAAGACATACAAAAATATTTTCTTTACATTCTGACAACAATTCTTAGCAGGGAAGGAGGAGAAATTAATTCAAAATAATTTCAAATAAAGCACAGATAGTACTCTATTGTTAAAACTCCATCCTGGGAGAAGGAACAGAGTGGGGTGGGGAATACTGCAATCCCCAAACTAGTTTATTAGATAGAAAGGCATATTAAAACTTAGCCTGCAGTTATGTTTCAAGTATACAACTTAAAAGAAACACAACCCCAAGCAAGTTTCTATTGCTATCGTGCCCACCAAATAAGATCTGCAAAAAGACCCTTGCCTGAATAACAGCACTAAACCAGCAAGTATTGCCCACATTCTTTAGTCCAACAGGAGCTTTGTCCTGCCTTTTTCTATCGTAAGGGTTTCGAGAATCCCTCCAAACTTCCGTAGGTGTCCTCTTCAAACAGGCTTTATTTTCTGCTATGCTGGCTTCAAGAACTCTTAAGCCATGGGGAGAAAATGATGAAAAAAAAATAAAGTATGAATCTAGTGCCATACCCTAGGAAATAGCATATCACAAACTAACTATTTTAATTACTTAAGCTCTGGATAACGTATTTGAGGAAGTAATATTTAATGCCAACTTTACTCAAGTAGAGGTTAGCTTTCTTTAAGAATATAGCAGCGGCAATGCCAACAGATAAAGAGACATGCAGTTTTCCTCAGAAAAATGAAATTTCAAACACAAAAAGACAATGTTACATAATATAGAAAGTATGTTAAATTATGTCAACAAATTACAAGTTTAGTACCAGGAATATAGCACCTAGACAAGTTTTCTGAGTAATCAGTTTATTAAAGTAGATATTTAAAATATAATGACTAGTTTTTATAACAATTACTTTGAATCATCAAGAAAACATCAAAAACTGGACAAACTGCACTTTTACTCCTCTGACCATTAATTTCCTTGCCTATAAAAAATGTTAAATAACGTAAACTCTGGGATTCTTTTCAGTTCTAGAGATCTATGACTCTATGACAGTTAAATAAGGCAGAGAATACTTAGTGTTCACTTCTTCACCCAAAAGTTTGCCTAGTGAAAAATCTAGTGAAACAAATATCTACACGTCAGAATAATAAAAGGCTAACCTCCTGAAAATAAACTCAGCCTACAGAATATCTTAAATATATCTAAACGCAGCAAGAGTAATGCTACTTTGCTCAATGACGTTTTTCTTGCTCTTAAGCAAGTAATTACATGCTGGAAAACTGCCTGCTCAAGACATATGTTACTTAGTGTTCTAAATAAGCATTAAGTAATATTCAGGTGTCTTAACCCATTTTATGTTAATTACAAAAACCTCAGCAAGAATGAGTTTTTCCAATTTTTTGGCTTCCTGAGATAATCTCATTCATGCTACATCATCTTTATGCTCAAGATTTTGTCCGACTAGATCAATGTCAAAATAATATAGCTATGTTTCTTAATGATGGGGAAAAAGTGAATTGTTCTATTAGCTCTCACTGCAGTATTTGCAACATGACATTAGACACAATGTAATAGGACTCCAAATCATCATTACTTAAAATAACTTATGTGAATATAGAATAAAGTCTTTCTTTGGGACACAACGAAACCACATACTAAAAGAAAGTAAGTAACAACAACAGTTGTTAAAATGTAAAGGTCAGAGTAACCTTATATACTTAAAAATAAACAGGTTACACCTCTGTCACTTTTAAGTGTGATCCATCATTAGCAGCAGTATTCTCTGCCCCAAAACTAACTCTCACATGCACCCTCCACCCCTGGGCTTTTTCTCTTAAACTATTTACTACTAAAGTATACCAGAATTTCTTGGAAGGTATTTAGGTAGATAAATTGGGTCAGAAGAAAATCAGAATTTATCTAGAACATCCCACTGTGGCCAGAAAGCAAGTTTTCAAGAACCTAAGGGAAGATAAAAAGTCAGAGCCAACTTGAGAGGCTTCCTACTGTTCAACTGCACAGTTCAGGATAATACAAAACAAGAGCAATAATACAGTGGATTATGTACAAAGCAACTAGGTTATGCTCAAAAGAGAAAAGTTAACAGTATGCAAAAGGTATATGTAACACAAAGACTGCTGTATATAGAAAGGTATATTTAATTTCTTATTGACTTTCACAAACGGGAGTGTTTTCATTTGAAAGTTTTGTTCCTTTTGTAATGCACATGTACATTTAGAAGTTTAAATAAAGGAATCTTATTTGTATCTTGGCAATTCAAGATGAATGAACAAAAACAAGCAATGAGTTCTGGGGGAAGAAGCAACAATACCACAAACAGGAAAGAAGAATTAGTGCCAGAGGTCATATACAAGAGAGAGACGAGGCATCCGGCAATTGACCAGCACCTGTGGGCATGTACAATCACCATTTAAAATGAGGATTCTACAACATACTGTAAAAGTATAAACTGGTCAAAAGTCTAGGAAAACTACACTCAATCCTGAATCTCCTGGTGGATAAACCTCTACCATTACATATTTTTAACCTACTATTATAATAAAATACCACTAAGAAATGAACCCTTAATAATGTCAACAGACCAGATCACATCCATCATAACGACCAGGCAATGGGTCACATAGACATTTGTTATGAAAAACATGAGAATACCTAATTTCTAAAAAATACACCCAATCTGCAAAGATTAAAATCCATATATGAGTCACACAAAGTAATAACAAAAGGAAATTCAGCCTCAAGACCAGATTGATTTAAACTAGGTCTCATATTGCCCACAAATGTCAACGACCCAACCCAAATCTACAATCCAGACTGCCCTGAGATAATGATATTCTTCTTATTCTAGATCTGGTTAAGATTACTAAAATCCAGGAAGGTTTTTTTTAATGTTTTGATGCAATCAATTCCCTCACCCTCCTTTTCTGCCCCTCTCCTACAAAGAAAATACACCTCTTGATTTGTATGTTTACACACAAATTTGTATGTTAAACATTACATTAATAGAATGAGCTAACTTACGTAAACTTTTTGGTTCCCTTGCCTGATCTCTCCCCATAGGACTGGGAGAATGTATGGCCTCAAATGTACTTCCTAGGACCAAGTAGCTTGCCTGCACTGTTTGTTATACTATTCGTCAAAGCAAGTGGGAAGGGAAAGAAAGTCAAGGATATAAATTGAAGATACCATCTCCCCAGCATTCCTATGTACCCTTTTTTTACAGAGGTAAAATTAGGTACAAACTGTAATAACTGTTTGATTAGGACTCAAGAGATACATGCTCATTGCTGCTCAAAGTTACCTAAGATGCAAAAATAAAAGAATATCCATTTCCTAAATTATATTTTGTGTGTATATGTGTATATATATAATTATTCATATAACTCAATTCTGTCATATGGTAAATATCATTCATTATCACAAAAGTATAGGTGTTAAAGAAATAGGTTTATTATAAATTCCTTAGCCACACCATATGGTGAAATTATGGTACTAAAAGACGGTGGATGAAAGAATGCCATGACTTTGTGATCTCCTTGATTTAGAGCTTACAACTCATTCAGTTTTGTATCACCGGGGACTTACAACATGCTTCAGTGGGTTTCCTCCTACCGCCTCCTCCAGGATCATGAAGGACTTTACAAACACATCTATTACACTGCACCAAAAATATTTATTTATTTATTTATTTTATTTATTTTTTTTTTAAAGATTTTATTTTTTCCTTTTTCTCCCCAAAGCCCCCCGGTACATAGTTGTATAGTCTTCGTTGTGGGTCCTTCTAGTTGTGGCATGTGGGACGCTGCCTCAGCGTGGTTTGATGAGCAGTGTCATGTCCGCGCCCAGGATTCGAACCAACGAAACACTGGGCCGCCTGCAGCGGAGCGCGCGAACTTAACCGCTCAGCCACGGGGCCAGCACCAAAAATATTTATTAATTACTCAGTCTCTCCCATTAGCATGTGGAGGGTAGAAACACAGATCTGTTTCTTCGCTAGAGCTTACATGATAAATATAGGGGCTAAACGAGTGTTTAAAGTAAATGGATGATTAAGATGTTAGATGATGCTATACCTCTTTATTTTTTAGCTAAAGCCCATCTCCAGCTAAATATTACTCTATTCCCAAGCCCTTGACCCCTTCTATAGTCCAGTACTGGTTTAATGAACATAAACTTTCTATAATGCCAATTTCTACATAAGGGTCCCTTCCCTGGACTCACCAGACTAAAGCCAGTGATACCAGCCAGGCTTTAAACTAGTAAAGAGTATGCAATAACTATATTCTAGGCATTAAAGCTGCCAGGAGAGAGAAAGAAAAAAAAGGAAAAACAAAAAACAATGCAAATCTCAGAGAGCTCAGAAACAGCTTATAACAAAATGCCCAGAGAGGCAACCCCAAAAGCCACAATCAAAAACCAAACCCCCTACACATCACCTGCTTTCTTATCTTCCCAACACTGGTCATGACCATGGCATTCAGCAATAGAAAAAGACGACAAAATGTTTTGTGTCTCTTTTTCTCCCATACTGAATGTTCAGAGAACTTAGGGTAAATGTTCACCTTCCCAGTGAAATTTTATTGCAGTGATTGGGGGGGGGGGGGGGAGGGTTTGCTTGTTTTACTTTGTTTTGTACTGTTATTTAAACCGAATTATAGCAGTAATGTTGAAAACATTCCACTTTAGATTATCTAAGTCCATTTTGGGGAAGCAGCATACTCACTGGAAAACAAGCATTATCATTTAAGCTGTATAGATCATCCAAAAAGAAAAGAAAAAAGCAGGAAGTGAGGGAGAGAAGGAGAGAAAGAGAGTGGAGGGAATCATCTTGTTGACTGCCTTCAAAAAAACCTATTGCGGGACCTGGCCTGGGGCCGAGCGGTTAAGTTCCCGCGCTCCACTTTAGCAGCCCAGGGTTTCGCCAGTTCGGATCCTGGGCAAGGACACGGCACCACTCATCAGGCCATGCTGAGACGGTGTCCCACATGCCACAACTAGAATATACAACCATGCACTAGAGGTTTTGGGGGAAGGAAAAAAAAGATTGGCAACAGATGTTGGCACAGGTGCCAGTCTTAAAAGAACAAAAAAAAAACCTATTGGTATTTTGATTAGATCACACTAAACTGTAAGTCAATTTAAGGAGAACTGATCAGTTTTACAACGTTCGGTCCTCCAATTTGTGAAATAGACTATATTTCCAATCATTACATATTCATTAATGTGTCTCAATGATATTTAACAATTTTCTTGGAGTATTTGCACATTTCTTATTAGATTTATTCCTGGTCTTTAATAGTTTTATGTGTTTTAAATGGTAGCTTTTAAAATTTCACTTTCTCTTTCTTTCTTATGCATAGAAATATAATTTTTTATATTGATTATTAATCAACATAGCTAAATATTCTTTTTTTCTTGGTAGGAGTACTTTAGGGATAATTTACATATAATAAGATATAGAAATCTTAAATGGACAGTTCAGTGAAA